GGAGGGAGGGAGGGAGGGAGACACGTGCCGCCGCCGCCGCTACCACCAAGCCCGGGGAAATGTGGGGGCGTGCTGGGGGGGCTGGGTGCCAGGCTCCAGCCCTGACGGGCCGGCCAAAGGGGTCCCGCGAGGTCGGGAGGGGAGCGGCCCCCCTCAGAGGAGGCAGTGGCACGGAGACAAAGGCCACGCTGGGGGGAGATTCCCCAGGCAAGTTCTGGTTCCCACAGCAACCGTTGCCCAGGCCTGGCACGTGTAGGGGGGGACACACTTGCTTGAGTGGTCTGGATGTACACGTGCGTTGGCTGCACCCAGAAGGGCCTGCCCAGCCTCCCGGGAGCAAGTGGCCCTGAGACAACCCTGGAGGTTGTCTGCAGACTTCTGAGGGGCCCCTCAGCCCCAGGCCAGGCGCCCGTGAGGAAGCTGCCTGGCTTAGCCGCCTGCTCCGTCCTCCAGCGGCCTGGTGCCCCCTTGGCTCCGTCGGAGCCGAATGCCACCACTGTCCTCTCGGCCTGCTCCCCATCTCAACTCCCAGGGAGAGGCGGGGATCCTCTCTGCCGCCCTGGCCCGAAGGAGGCAGAAGCGCGGAGGGGCACCCCCTGACCCCATCAGCTTCTACCGCCTAGAAGAGCCATCTTCCCTCTCCCTGGGGACGCAGGCAGCCCTCCCCACTGCCAGGTACCAGTCCCCTCTTGGCAGCCAGCAGTCAGCCAGGCACCTGCCCCCTCCCCGCCGCATGAGGTGCCACTTCCCCAGCCTCCAGCAAACCCTCCCCTCCCGTGGTAGAGACCACATCAGGAGGCTTACGGACAGCAGGGGCCCCTTGTTCCTTGGGAGCGGGCGTCTTCTGGTAGGAGAGGCAGGACGGCTGCTGACGGGCGTGTCTTGGAAGATGGCACCGGAACCGTTCTTGAAGGAGGGGGCAGCAGCGGCCCTCCAGGCTGCCTCTGGAATTGGAGGGCAGGCTGCCTCCCCAGGCTTTGGAAGGTAGGACAAGGGACTCTGGTGG